CCGTGCTCCCGCTCGCAGCCCCTCCACCGCTTTCAAAAGTTCACGGGAAACGTGGCTTGGGTGGGTTTTCAACGCGCCCTCCCACCCACCCCCGTGAAACGAAAGTTTGAACCTCCTGGACAACGTCCAAACCGGGCAGCCCTTAAAGCGAGCAGTTTTCTCCCCCCCGCCCCCCCCTCCGGCCCTCGCCCCGGCAAGGTTTGAATTCCAGTAATATAGAGCTTTTATGATTACAATTACACGCCGCACAAATTCTGATCGGAGGAATTGCTGGTCACAAACTGCTTCTGACCAAAGAAAACGAAAGCACAGTTAGAGCTTTTTACTGTATTTTCCATAGGTACAAGCAGTAAACTGCATCCCTGCTAGCTCTTACAAACATAAATATTTTATGCCCCTGTTGTCAAAATAAAACAACAAAAAAAATCTACCCAAACCAAGGGAAATGTGAGACGTGCGTGATCTATGCCCAGCAAATAGAATGTGATGAAAACTGAACTGCTACTGGCTTAGAGATAATCATGTTCTCTCACATTTGGTGACACTCCATATTATCTGTTGGCGATCATCATGTTGCTTGAAATACTTCAAGGGAAGTTCGGTTCATTGACGGGTTGATATGAGCAGAACAAATCAAAGGTGTACATACAATGCAGCATTTAACTACCCTTTTCACTCCTTTTATGTTAAATGAAGAACTTGAAGGTCAGTCACAGAAAAAAACGTCCTGAATTAACTCTTTTCCTTGTTTCCTATGGCATTGGCAAGCTGTAGCTCCTTTAATTGTGAGTGGAAATAAAAATTAATAAATGCACAATCTATGGTAAACCATTGTCTTTAGCGATTTCTTATGTATCCCAACCCGGTGTTCAAGTTCTGCTTTTCAATTGCGTGAAGGTATGGCAGTGCTGGAGGGGAATCTGGGAGGGAAGATTCCTTGGCCTCTTGCCTACAAACTGAAGGAAATGATGGGAGTTGCACAAGTGATGCCTAGGTTAACTATGGGAGCTAAAGAACAGAGGGGTGGGATGGGATGGGGTGGCAGCACAGAGTGCTCTGTAGATTTCTTCTCCAGATTTGCTGCAATCAGAGTTAAACAACGCAGGTTTTAATTACTGGAACTAACTGAAATAAGCTATACCATTTGCAAGTACACAAATATCCATGATCCATTTGTAGGTGCCCTTCTCCTTGAACTGAGGCCAACTTCAGAAATAAGTAGTTTGCCAGGTATCATGCAGCTGCAACTGAGGTAACAAAACCCTGGTCTTTTGATAGTCTGGAAGTAAGAGTCAGGATATGTTTAGATCTACAAAATATAAATAAATAGAAATGTACCAATATATTTGTTTAAATTGGGCATGCAGATCATTTGTGTTTAGAATGGTGCTATTTTTTATGTACATTTAGTGCTAAACTGCAGTCTGAAGGGCAGACGTAAAGTGAACCTGTAGACATCATCCAGAAATACTGAGTCTTGTTTGAGTACCTCTGTTAAAACCGAGGAATAAGGTATTAATACAATCCCACACTGTTTCACGGGAGGGCTGTCAGAACTACATGGCACATGTGGTGCCATCTGTACTACAAAGAAAGTATCAAGGCACTGAAAGAAGTGTTATGTCGCTCAGTAGTAGTGTGGTAGGGATAGGCACAACATAGTGAATGCTAAATTTATAGTGCTGCTTTCTAGACTCGATGCGATTGTTTCAGCAAGGTTGGGCTTGATCCAAACTAGGAAAGAGGGAGGAGAGTAATATTTTTAAGTAATTTCTGTATTACTGAGAAAAATGAGGCTTACCCAATTTAATATGCTGGATGGAATAAATTAAAGGGTTTGTATAGTTGCCTTTTTTTTTTTTTTTTTCCCCTTCCAATCTACAGTAGCACTTTGAGATCTTTGGTATCTTGGTGACAACACCTAGAAGATTTCAGTCCAGGTTTTAGTGAACACAGCACAAAATTCAACACAGTTGTAATTGGAATTGTAATTCACTGACATTTTTGGTGCAAATTTTAAAAGGGAGGCCACAGTCTAAAGCAAGTCACTTTGGAGAATGGACTGTTCTCTCACTCAATCACCTGTCGCCCTTAGGGGGACTCTTTTCAAGTCAAGGTCACTGTTGCAGCCCTCAGCATCACTCCTTTGAGCAAATAAAAGACAATATGTCTCCAACACTGAAGGCACACATTAAAAAAAAAAAAACACAAAAAGGGTTTTCAACAAAGACTTTCATATTATATTCTTAATTCTTTATTATTATCATCATGTTTAACTGGGTACAGCATTACAGACACTTAGATATGTCACCTTATTATGCACAAGAATGGAAATCATGGCTATAGAGCCAATTTACAGGTAACAGACAAGTGCTATTTTTACTGAGCCTCTTAGCTTACGTAGGAGTGGCACTGGTCTGTTCCCCACATCCAGCTTTACTCAGACGTGCAAGGCCCTTCAAAATGCCCTTTGGCAAACACAGATTTTCTAGTCTACATCACAGATTCTGCTGCATAACACTGAATTTCTATAAGAAAAGTATTTCTTTGCTGTAAGTAAGGGAAAAATTTAAATCCAAAGCTGGTGTGACCATCTCAACAGACACATTATTTAATTTAGTCTGAAATGAAGAAACAAAATGGAAGATGCTGGCCATAGTACAGATATTATAAAATTAAATAAATACCTAAATATAAAAAAAAGAAAAATCTTTTGTTGCTATAACAAGTTGAGAGCAAGTGTAAATTGGAAATCGTTTCAGAGGATTGCATACGTTTTCTGGTTTTCTGTATGCTACAAACCATTAAGAAATGTCGCATTTCTCTAGTGAGTTCAGATTCTAAATGAATTTAAGGAAGATGGGGAAAAACTTTTTAGCAGGGCCTGTTGCGATAGGACAATGGGTAATGGTTATAAACTGAAAGACGGTA